TGTGTACCTAATGACTGGAATTGCCCAGGTGTTGATTGCCTTTATGGTATTTCCTCCATTGAGTTTGGATTTTAAGATCTTCTTCACTCTCTTGATGTATTCCCCTCTAATCTTTTTCTTGACTTCAGTGTGCTTGATGTTGTCAGCTTGAAGGATACCCAAGTATTTGTAGTACTCTTCCTCATCCAGACTCTTAATGTTATTTTCGTGGGGCATCTTGATTCCTTCAGTTTTCACTATTTTTCCTTGTTTTGATAGTAAGTGTGGCACATTTGTCCAAGCCAAACTCCATTACAATATCTTGGCTATATATACGGACAGTGTTGAGCAGCGATTCGATTTCAGATGATGTTTTTCCATACAGCTTCAGATCATCCATGTAAAGGAGGTGGGATAGTCTAGCAGATGTTTTTGATGTTTGATAGCCATGTCCTGAGTTATTCAGTATTGTTGACAGAGGAAACAGTGCAATAACAAATAGGAATGGTGATAATGAATCTCCTTGAAATATTCCTCTCTTGATATTAACCTCTCCCAGCTTTTCACCATTGATCTGCAACTGTGTCTTTCATTGTGCCATCGATCTTTGCACAAATTTTCTGATGTTTCTACCGACTCCTGTTATTTCTAGGCACTTGATTATCCAGTCATGTGGCAGAGAGTCAAATGCCTTTTTGTAGTCAAGCCATGCCACATTCAGGTTGGTCTTCCTTTTCTTGCAGGTTTCCAAGATCATTTTGTCTATTAGGAGTTGATCTTTTGGTCCTCTGCTATTGGGGCGGTTTCCTTTCTGCTCAGGTGGAAAGAGATTGTTTTCAACTAGATTCTGTTGTACTGCATCAGCTACAACACCAGTTAGTAATTTGAAAGTTGTTGGTAAACAGGTAATTGGCCTGTAGTTGCCTGGTGTTGCCCCTTTTGCTGGATTTTTCATTGTTAGGTAGGTTTTCCCAGTTGTTAGCCACTTTTCAATTTCTCCTCCTTGTAGTTTATTGTTGAACTGCTTGGCAATGAGTGGGTGTATAACAGTTAGATGTTTCAACCAAAACCCATGCAGTTCATCTTCACCTGGTGCTGACCAATTTTTGATTTTCTTTGCTCTTTTTTCTACCATTTTTGTTGTTATTACTAGTTCTTTCATTTCAACTGCTGTTTTATTTGCCTCCACTTCTTTTAACCAAGCCGCATCCTTGTTGTATTTCTTTGGGTTATCCCATATCTGCTTCCAGAACTGCACTGTTTCTTCCTTGTCAGGTACTGACTGATTCCTTGCAGTTTCTCCATTGATGGATTGGTAGAAACATTTCTGATTGGATTGAAATTGGGGGTTCTGCCTATAGTTTGCAATTCGAGCTTCATATCTACTGATTTTCCTGGCTCTAGCTGTTATTTGTTGCTTTATTATTTCCAGTGCTTCCTTGATCTTCCTTGTTTCTAAGTGGTATTTCTTGATTAGGTATTCTTTGGTCTTCTTGTTCTTCAGCTTCTTTTCTTTCATCTGTTCTAGCTTGCTTGCATGTGATCTTAACTTGCTGATCTTATTTTCTAGTCTAAACTTCCATTTTTCTGGTGCACTGTTTGTTTGTTTTTCTTTGTTGATTTTGCATCCCAGGTATTCAGTTATAACTGCAGCTGTGCTGTACATTAGTTGATTTGTTTCTTGCAGTGAATTGGTGCTTATACTTGATATTGTAGTATTTGCATCTTTTAATGCTGGTGCTAGCTGTTTCTTTGGAACAAGCTTCAATGCAAGCAGCCTTATTCGTTTGTTTTTGGTGCTGTTTCCATATGCTCAATTATTCTTTGTTTCAATTCTTTTATTTCTTTAGTTAGAGGGTTTTGTTCTTCCTGAGGTAGAGGTGCCTGGTTTCCAAATGTGAACAGTTGTATATCTCTGCTGGATTCCTTCACTGCCAATTCCCCCTGGTTTGCCTCTACATTCTGAATTACTTCTGGTAAGGCTTTGATTTCTTTGCCCTGGGTAAACCTTTGCAGTTCGTCCATTTCTGTTTCTGTGAATATTTTATTTCGTGTTATAAATCGGCGTTGATCTGCTAGTCTCTGTTCTGTTATTTCTGATTCTGGATGTTGTTCTTTCCAGAACTGGTGCATTCGTTTTAGATATCCTCTTCTTGTTGGACTTGATCTGTAGTAACAGATCATTAGTTCTTTGTTTTCCATCACTGTGTATCTGCGACGGGTAAACACCTTTTCTTCCAGTAGTTCTGCAGCTGCGGGCCCTGGTTGCTCAGCCAACAGTCCTGAGTCCTGTAACCCATTTTTCACCAGATATCCAGGAACTCCAATATCTATGCGGAAAAACCTTGTTACCCGAGCGACGTACGAGCCGGTATGGGCATTCTAGAATTTTTACGAAGCTTCTCACCATATTTTTATGCGGACATAGACACTCTTTGTCTGACTCCTCTGATGAAGTGACCTGTCCATATGGTTGAACCTCTGGCATAGTTCTCATCTTCCTCAGAGTACACAAGCCCCACAACCACATCTAATGCATTTGTAGCATTCCACGCCCACCTATTTGCCTTGGTAGATAAAGTCTGTCAATGTCACTGCATGGATGAAGGGCATGATTCATTGTCATTATTTTTCTGGTTTTCCTATCCATTGCTTTTAGTTCTGCTTGAGTCCAGTCCACTATTCCAGCTGTGTACCTAATGTCTGGAATTGCCCAGGTGTTGATTGCCTTTATGGTATTTCCTCCATTGAGTTTGGACTTTAAGATCTTCTTTACTCTCTTGATATATTCAGCCATGTCCTGAGTTATTCAGTATTGTTGACAGAGGAAACAGTGCAATAACAAATAGTAATGGTGATAATGAATCTCCTTGAAATATTCCTCTCTTGATATTAACCTCTCCCCGCCTCTCACCATTGATCTGCAACTGTGTCCTTCATTGTGCCATCTAGCTTTGCACCAAATTTTCTGAATGTTTCTACTGACTCTGTTATTTTTCTAGGCACTTTATTATCCAATCATGTGGCAGAGAGTCAAATGCCTTTTTGTAGTCAATCCATGCCACATTCAGGTTGGTCTTCCTCTCTTGCAGTTTTTCCAGAATCATTTTGGGTCTTATTAGGAGTTGATCTTTTGTTCCTCTGCGGTTGGGCGGTTTTCCTTCGCTCAGGTGAAAGATTGTTTTCAACTAGTGCCTGTTGCAACTGATCACTACTACACCAGTTTAGTAATTTTGAAAGTTGTTGGATAGCAGGTATATGCCTGTAGTTTACCATGGTGTTGCCCCTTTTGCTGGTTTTCATTATTATGGTGGTTTTTCCCAGTTGTTAGCCACTTTTCAATTTCTCCTCCTTGTAGTATATTGTTGAACTGCTTGGCAATGAGTGGGTGTATAACAGTTAGATGTTTCAACCAAACCCATGCAGTTCATCTTCACCTGGTGCTGACCAATTTTTGATTTTCTTTGCTCTTTTTTCTACCATTTTTGTTGTTATTACTAGTTCTTTCATTTCAACGTCTGTTTTATTTGCATCCACCTCTTTTAACCAAGCTGCATCCTTGTTGTATTTCTTTGGATTATCCCATATCTGCTTCCAGAATTGCACTGTTTCTTCCTTGTCAGGTACTGACTGATTCCTTGCAGTTTCTCCATTGATGGATTGGTAGAAACATTTCTGATTGGATTGAAATTGGAGGTTCTGCCTATAGTTTGCAATCGAGCTTCATATCTTCTGATTTTCCTGGCTATAGCTGTTATCTGTTGCTTTATTATTTCCAGTGCTTCCTTGATCTTCCTTGTTTCTAGGTGGTATTTCTTGATTAGGTATTCTTTGGTCTTCTTGTTCTTCAGCTATAAAAGTCTGCGAAAAGAAAAATGAAGTAAGGGATTGTCAGAAATAGTTTAAAAGAGATTATGGAATTAGAGAATATAATAGTATTGGATTATGATAAAATAACTGAGATAAACCACATTTGGTTTTCTTTTCATTTTATTTTTCTGTTCATCGTGTTCTAGCTTACTTGCATGTGATCTTAACTTGCTGATCTTATTTTCTAGTCTAACCTTCCATTTTTGTGGTGCACTGGTTGTTTGTTTTTCTTTTTTTGTTGATTTTACATCCCAGGTATTCTGTTATAACTGCAGCTGTGCTGTACATTAATTGGTTTGTTTCTTGCAGTGAATTGGTGCTTATACTTGCTATTGCAGTATTTGCATCTTTTAATGCTTGTGCTAGCTGTTTCTTTGGAACAAGCTTCAATGCAGGCAGCCTTATTCTGTTGTTTTTTTGGGTGCTGTTCTAGATGCCAGTTATCTTTGTTTCATTCTTTTATTACTTAGTTAGAGTAGTTTTGTTCTTCTGAGGAAGTGCCTGGTTTCCCAATGAGAACACAGTTGTTATATGTCTCTGCTTGGATGCATCCCTTACCTGCCACGACTCTCTGGTTTGCGTACTTCTACTCTCTGAAGTTCATCACTTCTGGTAGAGAGGCTTTGATTTCTTTGCCCTGGGTAAACCTTTGCAGTTCGTCCAATTCTGTTTCTGTAAATACTTTATTTCGTGTTATAAATCGGCGTTGATCTCCTAGTCTCTGTTCTGTTATTTCTGATTCTGGATGTTGTTCTTTCCAGAACTGGTGCATTCGTTTTAGATATTCTCTTCTTGTTGGACTTGATCTGTAGTAACAGATCATTATTTCTTTGTTTTCCATCACTGTGTATCTGCGACGGGTAAACATCTTTTCTTCCAGTAGTTCTGCAGCTGCTGGCCCTGGTTGCTCAGCCAACAGTCCTGAGTCCTGTACCCCATTTTTCACCAGATATCCAGGAACTCCGATATCTAGCGCGGACCTTGTTAACCCGGGCGACGTCCGAGCCAGTATGGCATTCTGCAATTTACGTCTCACCATATTTTTTATGGGAGAGACACTCTTTGTCTGACTCCTCTGATGAGACCTGTCCAGTATGGTTGAACCTCTGGCATAGCTCTCATCTTCCTCAGAGTATACAAGCCCCACAACCACATCAAGGTAGTGCCTCACTGGGGTTGTTGTTGTTGTTGTTGTTGTTGTTATTATTATTATTATTATTATTATTAGCTTTAGGCTTCATTATCTTCCTTCATTCCCTCTACTGAGAAATAAGAATCCTCAGACAAATGACATTTATATTGGGAGATCTGACTTAGAGGGTGGGCAATTCACAGGTTCTTTGCTCAAGGAGCTTCTGGCTTGTAACATTAGAATATATATATATTGGCAATTTATACAGGTCAATATACAGTACATGGCAAGTACTATCAATGCTATAATTCTGTTTTGTTTAAGATTGAGAACATTGCAAAAGATAAAAATGTACATTGCAAAAAGTAAAATGTTTGCTTTTTCTCAGAGTCTGAATAAAGAATTAATGTGCATGGTTCTTGTTAACATTTGTGTTTCAAAAAACATTGAAGGAAGGGTATTAGACTGACATCAGCCTCTTAAATCACATGACTGATTTTTCCAATAGATTGGACAAGAAAAAATAAATCACTGTTTAGTTTTTTGTTTCTCCTAATAAAAGTGCTGTATCCTAATAAAAACTCTAACTTCCAATAAGTTTCCCTTTTTATATTAAAAGATAATATGCATAAGTTTGAGATGTATTAAATTTGCAAAATAATTATGCAATGTATTCTACTGATATAATAATTTCTAGTGTAGCAGCCATAATCATCCTTATTGTTGTTTTCCACTAGGTATCTTAAAAACTACCACAACTAATCATAAAGATTCTGCCCTTGTGATGGAGATTCAGAGTGATCTCTTACTTATTTTGTCAACTCTTTGTGAAAGTAATCTCCATAGAAAGGTTTGTATTTCCTCACTGACTTCAAAAGTTCATTGTGTGAATTTCTAATAAATAAGAAAGTGAAAAGTGAGCTTATGTTCAAAGTTTATTTTATTATTTTATTTTATTTTTTGATTCTATACTGTCACTATGCATTAACATTCTGAACTGGTATTCCTGGGTTGCTTTTGATGTGATTGGATTTTCAGATAACTTGGCTTTGGGATTGCATTATAACATGAAACAATAAAGATCAGAAGCAACCACATATAAATTGCAAAAACTATTTTTATTTATGTAATTATGTATATAAATGTACAATGGAAAGTTTTAAAAGAATCTTGGAAATCGTGTAATGCATCCCTATGCCCATGAATAAATCTATTTTTATAACATCACTGATAGACGCAATCTAGCCTTTGTTTATAAACAATGTCACAAAGAGAATCTATCACTTCCCAAAGCAGAACGTTCTATTCCAGATTCTTTCTGATGTCTGCTTCTATATCCCATTAAGTCCATTGCTTCTTACAGCCATTTGCTTAGTAACCATTCAAAGTTACATTGAAAAAGTGACTCATAACTGTTTTTCACACTTATTACTATTGTAACATCCCCATGGTCACATGATCAAAATTTGGCTACTTGGCAATTGGCATATATTTATGCAGTATCCTGGAGTCATGTGATCAGCTTTTTGCGACTTTCTGACAAGCAAAGTCAATGGGGAAGGCAATTTCAGTTAGCAACCCTGTTACTAACTTAAAACTGCAGTAATTCACTTAACAACTGTGGCAAGAAAGATCATAAAATGGGGCAAAACTCAATTAACAATTGGCTTGTTTAGCAACAGAAAATTTGGGTTCAATTGTTGTAAGTCGAGAATTACTTTTATTACATCGCAGGTATGTTTCCTTTCAGTCTTCCCAGGTTAAATATACATCACACTTCCAATCTTTTTCTCCTGAGTTTTATTTTGTAGATTCCTTATCATTTTGGTTTCTCATTTTTGCTGCAGTATAGGTTTACAGTTTTCAAATCAGAAGCAGATAAAATTGTTTTAAATCCAATTTATATAACATCTCTAAACCTGCTGACAGCTCTTTAAAGCAGCCCTCTCTTTTCATGGCCTCAGGAAGATATGTTCTTAAGTTAAGGAAATGACCCATGGTCACATCCTGTTACCACCTCTGTAAAATCTCTTATTCCAAATGAATATTTTCCTGAGCCTGCCTAGCTATTGTGGAAGCCCAATAAAAGGCAAAGCCCTTGTGATGGGTATGGAGAATGTGGTTATGCCAAATTTGAAGCTTTTCGCTCTTTCATATCCAAATATTACATACCTGCATGCTCCTGTTAATTAATTACTTCCTAAAGTATTATGTTCCAAATGGACACAATATTTTAGATCCAGTCTGAGTAAAATAGAACAGACAGGAACAATTATTTATAGTTCTTACAGAATAATGTAATTTTCACTATTAAACAGGAGCTCTTTGGATGGGAAGGAGTGGATACCCTTATTCCATTTATGAAGATAGATGCCAAAAATTTCTATAGTGGATTGGGTCATAATCGTCTTCTTTTCTGTGCTCTGGACTGCTTATGGTAATTATAGCAATTTCAAAAATTTTAATCTTTGAAAGAAGGGAGACAGACAGACAAATTAGTTAAATAAATTCAATGGATCATAAAGAATCAAAAGCATTTTCTTAGTTTAGAATTAAAATGTTTAATTTTAAATGGTTGTGATATTTAACTACTGGTTTTTTATTTTAGTTTTGTTACTATTAGGAATGGACATAAATTTGTTTTGCTTTAAAATTCTACCCAACTTTAATCTCCCTGTTTACTCTCCTACTACAAATATTAAATTCAAACCAATGTTTTGTACAAGTAGGGGCAATATTTTGTAGATCCTTAATGAATGATCTTTCAATATACAGCTTATATCAATCATACTAATAATCTGACTTATGGAAGAATTGCCATAAATCAAATGGAGCATGTACTTTGCATCCAGGAAGTCTCAAATCCTGGGCAAAAAAATTCATATATGAAACTGGAGTGCTTCTAAGAGTTATGTGGGAATATAGATGGAAGTATAGACAGGGCTAGGATCTCGGGAGAAAAAGAAACACATTCAGGGACACAAGCTGATATTAGACATTTCTTCATATTTATATTCATATATATGTACAGAACATACATACACATGCATAAGTTTAAGTCAATACTGAAAGCTTCAGGAAGCATAGCAGAAAAATAAGCAAAATGGAAAACACGGGAGCACATAGGGATGACATGAGACATAGTCAAGGGAGAAGTTGGAATAAGCATTTAGGAGAAAGTTGAAATGGTGGAACTCAGTGAGAAGGCATGAGGAAGGAAATGCAGAAGAGAACAAAGGAGAGGCTGGGAGCATTGCAGGATAGTAGAGTCCACCAGGAAGAAGAGGGACAGATCAGAAAATACAAATAGTCCTTGCTTAATGATCCTAACTGGGACTGGAATTTCCATTGTTAAGCAATGCAGTCATTAGGACAAGATCTCATGCTTCTACCCTGCTGTGCTCACCTGAACTTGAACAAGACCCATTCTCCTTATTTCTGCCCTTTTACTGCCCTGCATATGAAAAAATGTGGGAGGGAGGGAGGTGGAGCATTCGGATCAGAAAATATACTTTTTGCATTCTTGGGTTGGTTGGTACTATAGTGCCAATAGCACTGGATTAGCTAAATCATTGATGCTATATAATAGAATATATGTTTTTGAAAATAAATTAAATTTTTAAGATTAAATGTTTGCCAAATCAGGCTGTAGTAGTTTAATGTCAGCCACAGCAATTTTTAATAAAACATTATTAAATAAAATGTGAAAATACCTTTTCTTTATTTTGGACTTTGTATATAACTAATTATATTAGAAATTCTCTCCCTTTGCAGCTTGTTAGTGAAAATCATTCATTGAAAGTATAACGTTTAAATTGAAAGCATATCCTACAAACTGAAAATATTTTTTTTAAGGTGCTGTGTCATGGGTTGCACTATTTTAGAAGACTATTTTCTTGAAAAAGAAGGTCTCTTCACTCTGTTAGATTTGCTTTTAGTAAGTAGTATTATTTACATAAAAGTAGAAAAAAATATTGATTATATTTTACTGAATCTTCTCCAAGTATCATACAGTCATCAAAATATTATTTTAATAACTTAATTAATATTTCTTAATATTGCAGTTCACACATTTTAACTTGTGCATATATATGACATCTGCATTAATGTAGTATAAAAGACTGTGTATTTTAAAGAAATTTGTTGACTATATAAAAATTACATAAAGTACCCTATAGCAAACTACATAAGAAAAAAAGAGGGGTAATAAAGGCAAAACCAGAACAGGAACATAAAACCTCTTATAAAAGAGAAAAACTAAACTAAACAATCAGAAAAAGCCCGCAAGTAATTTATACCTAATTCTAAATATAAAAAGAAAAAGACAGAAGGGGAACTCATCAAATTTGCAGATGACTCCAAAGTGGCAGGAATAGCCAACACTCCAAAAGATAGACTTAAGATACAGGAGGATCTGAACAATGGGCACTATCTAACAAAATGAAATTCAGTGGTGAAAAAAGTAAGATTCTACATATAGGCAAGAAAAACCAAATGCACAAGTATACTGATAGTTGGTACCTTGCTCAAGAGTAGTAACTGTGAGAGGGATCTTGGGAGTCTTAGTGGACAATCACTTAAATATGAGCCAGCAGTGTGCTGCAGCTGCCAAAAAACCAACACAGTGCTAGGCTGCATTAACAGAGGGATAGAATCAAGATCACGTGAAATATTAATACCACTTTACAATGCCTTGGTAAGGCCACAGTTGGAATACTGCAGCCAGTTTTGGTCACCACGATGTAAAAAAGATGCTGAGACTCTAGAAAGAGTACAGAGAAGAGCAACAAAGATGATCAGGGGACTGGAGGTTAAAACATATAAGGAACAGTTGCTGGAATTGGGTATGTCTAATTTAATGAAGAAGAAGGATGAGGGTGGACATGATAGCAGTGTTCCAATATCTCAGGGGCTGTCACAAAGAAGAGGCTACTGTCCAAAGCACCTGAAGACAAGACAAGAAGCAATGGATGGATACTGATCAAAGATGGAAGCAACCTACAACTAAGGAGAAATTTCCTGACAGTTAGAACAATTAATCAGTAGAATGACTTGCCTTCAGAAGTTGTGGATGCTCCAACACGGGAAGTTTTTAAGAAGACCATTTGTTTGAAATGGTATAGGGTTTCCTGCCTGAGCAGGGAGTTGGATTAGAAGACCTCCAAGGGTCCTTCCAACTTTGTTATTCTATTAAATTCTTTATATATTAAAATATGATAGATTTTGTAAATATAGTTTAACAAAAAATTAATATTTTAACCCTTAGCTTTTTTTCTAAAAACACAATTAACCACAGTTATCTAAATAATGGTATTATAAGAAATACAGGTAATCCTCAACTTACAATCACAATTGAGCCCAAGATTTTGTTTTGCACTCAGTTGTTAAGACATTTGTTAAGCAAGTGTTGCCACATTTTACGATTTTTCTTGCCATAGTTGTTAAAAGAATTCCTGCAATTGTTAGGTTAGTAACATAGTTGTTAAGTGAATCCAGCTTCCCCATTGACTTTGCTTGTCATAAATTTGCAAAAGGTAATCATATGACCTGGGGACACTGCAATTGTCATTAAATATGAGTCAGTTGCCAAATGTCTGAATTTTGATAACATGACCACATGGTCATAAGTGTGAAAAAAAGTTATGTCACTTTTTTCAGTGTTGGTGTAACTTTGAATAGTCAGTAAATGAACTGTTGTAAATCAAGGACTACCTGTATATAAGTCAGGTAAAATAAATAATTAAGTCAACACAGTCATAGAATTTACCAAAGTTGCTTAAAATTGACTCCATCTCTAGCATATAAGGGTAACATTTAGTAAGACCTCACCTTTTTAAAATGTCTTAGGGAGTCTAAGAGAATATTTTGCTGAAATGATTTGAATTTTTAGTCATAAAAAATATATCTTACATTGCTTTAAAGCCTAAAGCCATTTATTGGGAAATATAGGATACTCTTGTATATTGTCTAAATTGAAATTTGTTTTTTTTAAATCAGTAATAAATTGTCAGTTATCTTACTAAAGACCTTTTCAAATATTTTCAATGTCTCTGAGATTTCAGAGAATGCAAAGTAATTGAGTTCAAACAATGTATTTTTACAGTGTTTGAACCTAAAATTTTACAGAATTTTAACTGTATTACTTTTTCAACTATTTTAAATAAATTCTCAGTTAAGAAAATCTTTTTATACAGATACTCTAGGAGCATTTTATGTTAATCAGTAAAATAGTTTTATAGTGATTACTTAGATGTAAAGCTACCATGTTTCAATTCTAGTACTGTCACACTAGGACAGTAAAAAGGGATGAAAAATATAGTCAGATCTATTCCTATTCTGTGCCAAAGTAATGCTGTGTTATAGAAATTATAAATTTAGGAATGCCAGTGTGGTGTAATGGTTGAGTTTTTTGGACAAAGATTAGGAATATCTAAGTTCAAGTCCAACCTCAGCCATTGAAGGTGCCTGGATAATTCTGGGCTGGATTTTTGCTGTGGGAAAAATAGGAGAAGGGATTCCTGTCTACACTGCCTTCAATTCCTGTGCAAAAAGTGAAATATAAATCAAACAGATTAATTTCCTTCAAAAAACATGTCTTGAATGCATGCAATCGTGTTAAATTTATTAAAATAATACTTTGCAGAAACAATTCTACATTCTATTTGTATGCTTTATTCAAAACCATATAGCTGTGTTTCAGAAAACGTAGAATTCTTAAAAAACATTATTCTCTAAAATGGAGTAAAGGATCTAAGTAAAAGTTTTGCTAGGACTTAAATTATGTATCACCTATTAGTATCAGAAAAAAGAAGACTATATACAGGATTAAAGAAAAAGCAAAAATGTCAAATATCCAATCAGCACTGAACTGATTTTTCATAGGATTACTTTCATAGTTTGAATATACTTGTAAAACAGTGAAAGTTAGAAACTTGCAATTAACTTATCTAAAATTGGGACAAATATTCTTTGGAATTAAAATTTTCCAGATGTTATGCATAATGCAATGCCCTTAAAATTAAAAAAAAATATTAAAAGTTTTGTATGTAATTTTGAAACCTATTGTTCATTTTTCTTTGCATGGTCATAAATTAAAAATTTCAAAAAATATTTGTTTCATATATCCCCAATATATTTGTTTCATACATCCTAAAATAAACGCTATGTTATACATTTCAACGTGAATTTAAAATTCTATGGTCTCATAATTTCAGGTTACAAAGAGCTTCTCATTCACTTCATTATTATGGAATACCTTTATGTTAAAATATTCTATATATTTGAATTCCTATAGTTAATATTGGTTAAATGGTAATAATTATTTTTTTAAATATTTTAGGTCTTTGGTTATTTCATTTATAACGTCCCTTCTTTCTTGTTTTTTTTTCTGTAAAGTTAAATCAAAAGAATGTGTGTAACCTAATTCTTGGAATATTAGTTGAATTTTGTGATAATCCTAAAACTGTATCCCACATCAATGTTTGGCGAGGGAAAAAAGACCAAACAGCAGCTAATTTGTTAATAAACTTATGGAGACAAGAAGAAGAAGAAATGGGAGTGAAACATGATAAAGCTGGAAGAATTGTTGGTAAGTATTGGTCCATGGTATTTTACCTCATGAACAACCATAGTGTGAAGCAGGGTGGGATTCAAATATGTGAACAACTGGTTCTCTCTGTGGATGTTGCTTCTGGAAGTCCATTCTGGGCCTGGGCAACAAAAAAATTAACTACCAGTTCTACCAAACTGGTGCAAACTGGCTGAATCCCACCACTGGTCTGAAGGCAATCTTAATTTTTCAGTTTTTCTTAATGCTATATAAATACTTCTGCTATGCTAAAGTTGCTTTTAATGCTTTGATGTTAGAAGAAACGTGAGTAAGTCAGTCAACAGAAAAGTTGGATAGGAGAAGGCTTGATCTGCAGTTAACTACTGGCAAAAATCACTTGAACGCATCAACTTGACAGCTGTTTCAATATCAGTTATTAGGCAAATTACACACAGTCATTAAAAGCAATGGCACATGACCATCACTTCAGATTTCTTCCTGGGTTCCCCATTGAATTTGTTTGTGGGAAGCTGACAGTGAAGATTGCAAATAGTGATCACCTGATTGTGGGATACTACAACTACAATAATTGTGCACCAGTTGCAAAGTGCACAAATTATAATTGTGATTGCAGGGGCATGTGGCAGCTACAATTTTGAGGGCCAGTCCTCATTTGGTACTGTCGTACCTTCAAACGGTTGCTTCAATGAGCAGCAACTAAACAAGGACTACTTGTACCAGAATCATTGATTCATTTATCATATTTATATGGCCATCCATTTCATGAAAAAATCACTAGGTAGCATATAATAAAAAACACAAAACAGTAATATAAAAAAAACAATCACCAAATCAATAAAATTTAAAAATTCTGATTAAAAAGCAAAGAGCAGGCAGCAGGAATTAACAGAATGGAGGCACCCCAGCAACTCACTTATGTTTTCCACTATAAACCTCTGTAGACAT